CGAACTGTTAATACCATTGTGGGGGAGGGGAAGAGAGTGAGAGCTGGGGGTGGCCACACTGAAGACAGCAGCTTCAGCAGCATCACTAAGCTTGCTCAGTACAAGCAAAGCAGCAAACTGGGGGAGACCAATCTTACTGGTTCCCCTCCCCCACATACATCACCTCTTTCTCCAGCTACTAAAGTGTCAGAAAAACTCTGTTCTTTTTGCAGACCACTGAGCATTCAGCTGACAGAAGCCCTGTATCTAATTCCTATATAAAACACATCTTGTGGCATGTCACTTGAGAGACACTGGTTAGCTTTAACAAGCTACAATTTTTTTCCTTTTCTGGAGGGAGAGAGACCCTGTCAGGCCTCCTGGGTTCTCTCTCAGCTCTGGGAGGGCAGTGGGGTCTCGTGGGTCACAGCGAGAGGGCAGATACATTTCAGTTCTATGTAAAAACACCGAATGTCCATACGGGGTCAGACCAATGGTCCTTCTAGCCCTGTACCCTGTCTGTCAATAGCAACTCAATGCCTGGTGCTCCAGAAAGAACACACAGAGGAGGCAAACATCATGAGCCATCCCCTGTCACCCATTCCTAGCATCTGCCAAACAGACGCTAGGGACACCATCCCTCCCCATTAGCCACTAACAGACTTAACCTCCTTGAATTTATTTTGTGTTTATTGGAGCCATGTTATAGTTGGGGCCTTTCCACCAGATCCTGGCAAAGAATTCCACGAGCTGACAGTGAAACAATAATTGATTTTGTTTTAAATCTGCTGCCTCTACATTGAATTGGTCAGCGTCTCGTGTTGTGTTCGTGAAGGAACGAATAACATTTCCGGGTTCTATTTTCCCCACACATTTCACGATTCTCTAGATCTCTACCATATCCCCCCACCCTTTAGTCATTTCTTCTGCAAGCTGAAAAGTCCCAGTCTTGTTAATTCCTTCTCATATGGAAGCTGTTCCTCGCCCCCAATTATTTCTGTTGCCCTTTCTGTACCTTTTCCAAATGCAGTGTATCCTTTTCTAGATGGGGTGACCAGACCTGCATTCAGTATTCAAGATGGGGGTGTAAAATGACATTTTCCTTCCTGTTATCTTTTCCTTCCCTAATGATTCCCAGTATTCTGTTTGCTTCTTAGACGGCGGCTGCACACCGAGCAGACGTTGTCAGGGAACGATCCACAAGGATACCCAGATCTCTTTCTCGAATGGTATCGGTTACTTGATATCTATTGTTAAGATTATACTTTGCCCTGTGCATTACTTTGCACTTATCAACACTGAATTCCCCCTGCCCTTGTGTTGCCCAGTCACCCCGTTTGGGGAGATCCCTTTGCAACTCTTTGCAGTCAGCTCTGGACTTCGCTGTTTTGAGTAGTTGTGCCGTATCTGCACTTTCTGCCACCTCTCTGTTCCCCCGTCCCCCTCCCACACACACTTTGGAAGAACATGTCTATGTTAAACAGCAGGGATCCAAATGCAAATTCCAGCAGCACAAGACTCATTTCTGCTCTTTTTTTTTAATCTCTTTTTTCTCCCCTCATGATGATCTAAGGATCCTTCAATGACTGGAACGCCCAGCCTTTTCTATCCTTAATCACCTGCCTCCCTCTTTCTGTAACAAACTCCCTGCCCCAAAGGCAAAGCTGCAAGCAGCTCAAATTCTGTTGCATTTAAGAGCTGCCTCTAGAGCCAGGGCATGCAGCTTCAAGGAGACCTCAAGCATGAAATCTAGGGGTTCAAACTTGAGGAGGAACTACTGAAAAAGCTCCCCCAAATGGCTCCCTTGGTCTGAGCAGTGCCTGGCATGTCAGGGTCCCCAGTCTCAGCCACAGTCCTAGCAGTGCCTGGCACGATGGGATCCCTGATCTCTGCTGTGGTTCCCGATCTTGGCCAGAGTCTGAGCAGACCCATCGATCACTCACCTGCCTCCTCAGCTGAGTTGAGCTCTATTTCGGCCTCACGTCGGCCTGTCGGCAGCTAGGACTGGGCTGTGTCATTGCTGGGAGAGATGCACTTTGTAGGTGAATTCAGACACCACCAAAAGTCTGATGATTCTTCCTATTGTCTCAGCTGTGGTCAGTGGGAAACACCCACAGACAGCGTTTAAGTGGCCTCCCGGGTGCATCAAACAGAACATCTTGAAATTGGGAGGGGATGTTAGTCTCTGAACCACCCTGTATTGAGAAACACAGAGAGGGCTTTAATAAACAACAATACAGGAGCAGGGAGTTCCACAGGTTAACATGCTGTTAAACCGCTCTGTGCTCCCCAAAGCAGGGAACAAATACCAGTGACATCGAGAGTCTGGGTGCATTGTGCTCCCTCTAACCCGTACTGAACACCTTTTGGTTAGCTCCACTGCTGTTAGCTCCTAGGTTCACCTAGTTCTACATCCTGCCCCCTCCCTGCCATCAGGGCGTAGTCCACCCTCTATCCTGTCCCCCCTGCCACATGCTCTGTACTGGGGCAGGCCATGCCTGGACATGCTCTCTGGGGGTCCCAGAGGCAGAGGCTGAAGGTGGGGAAAACTCTCAGGCACAGGATGGCCCAGAAGATGGGGGAAGCTGTAGGGGAGGCCATGGGGTGTCACTGCGGGGGAGGGGTGGCGCTGCTTAGTGCGTGTGTTTCCATTTGTCACACGTGGCCAGGAGCTCTGCTCTTGAATTTCTCTTTCCAGGAGTCGGTCTCAACCCAAAGCCCCCTGCTTAGCCCAGCCCTCAGCTTTCCTCCCTTCGCCAGCTGTGCCAGGGACCCCGGTCTCAGTCTGCTGCCCACCTGCTTTTTTTGGAACAGTGACATTGAAAACTGCCCCTAGCAAAATAGATCAACTGTGTGAGCGGGCTATCAGTGGCAGAGTGGACAGCTGGTCTAGTGGGCAGAGCATTGACTGAGAGTCAGGACTGCTGGGGTCTATCCTTGCTGTGGGGTCTAGTGGTCAGACCAGGGGAGCTGGGAGTCAGGATTCCTGGGTTACCGCTCTGGCAGGGGAGTGGGGTCTAGTGGTTAGATCAGGATTCCTGGGTTACCACTCTAGGAGAGGAATGGGGTACTAATTTGGGGGTGAGCAGGCCTGGGTTTGTTGGAGCAGATTTCCCATCAGGCACTGCTCTGCTCCCAGAGTTCAGTGCGGTTCCTGCCTTGGAAGAGCTGGTCTCTATTCTGCGTGCTAATGGAGAGGTCTCTCTGCTCCATCGTCCATGCAGAGGAGGCTGGGGTGTTTCCTTAATTCTATCACCCTTGTCTGGTGGAGTTTAGGTGGGTCTTCCCCGGCCTTTTCCTTGCTTTGCCTTTGGTTCATGCAGAGGCCTGGGAGGAGGGATGGTTTTCCCGGAAGGTCACTACCTGGCTCCCCAAGAACACAGAGCTGGTGGGTAACAGGGGGCAGGCCATGCCTGGACGTGCTCTCTGGGGGTCCCAGAGGCAGACGTTGAAGATGGGGAAAACTCTCAGGCACAGGATGGCCCAGATCAGAAGAGAATCTCATGACACTGTAAACTGTCCCTGAGCGAAATAGATCAACTGTGTCACCTGGCTATCAACGGCAAAGTGGACAGCTGGTCTAGTGGGCAGAGCATTGACAGAGTCAGAACTGCTGGGGTCTATCCTTGCTCTGGCAGGGGAGTGGGGACTAGGGGTCAGAGCAGGGGAGCTGGGAGTCAGGATTCGTGGGTTATTGCTCTGGAAGGAGAGTGGGGGCTAGTGGCTCAAAACGGGAGGGCTGGGACCACAATCCTGGTTGATATGTGAGCAGCACCTGGCATGGGCAGGGTCACCCTCATTCACCTGCCTCCGGAGCGGAGCTCTAGTTTGGCCCCACGACCCACTGGCCGCTAGGACTGGGCTGTGCCCTGCGGGGAGAGAGGCACTTTGCATGTGGACCAAATCCCCACTGAAAGTCTCATGAGGTTCTCATTGTCTCAGCCCCCCCCGCGCTCCCCACAGGGCTCAGCTCCTGCCCCGCTGCAGAGCCCAGCCACAGCCTGTGGGGCGGGAAGCTGTGGCCAGCACAGACACCCCCCGGGGTGTGAAGAGCTCGAGAGGCTGCAGGTGAAACCTGAGAGAGACAAACCCTGCAAAGTCACATTGGGGCCAGCCCTGCCGGCCAGGGGAGAGCAGGCTCCAAAGCCGGGGTCCCTCAGCCCCTAGAAACCTCCGTGCTTCCCATCAGGGCACTGGGCTCACTCCTGCCCCCCATTGCTGGTCGGACCCTGAGCCCTGCTCCCCCATCTCCTTGCCAGGCGTCACCCCCATCTCCCTGCTCTCTCACCCCAACCCCCTGCCCCCTCTTCCTGCAGCTCGTTCCTCTGCCAGGCTGCCCCCCCAGTTTGCTCTTTGCTTCTTGTGCAAGAGCTACGCTCTTTTTTAACAGGTGGAAGCTCTCTTGCACAAGAGGGCTGTGTGGACACTGGGCTGGGATTCCTTGTGCAATAAACCACTATGGCTAAAACGGCCATCGGCGCTTTCTTGCACAAAAGAGCGCCCACATGGCCACGAGGGCTCGAGGGTGGGAGAGCGCGGGACGCTTCCTCCTGCCTTGGTGCCGCGTGGTGCTCGCAAGGTGGGGGAAGAGCAAGGAAAACTTCACGTGCTCCCCTGCCCCCACGCCCTGATTGGCCTGGGGCAGGGACACAGCAGGGCCTCCGCGGACCAGGTCCAACCCATGGAGGGCCTTTTGCCTAACTCTGAGCTACGGCTGTGTCTAGACTGGCCAGTTTTTCCGGAAAATCAGCCGCTTTTCTGGAAAAACTTGCCAGCTGTCTACACTGGCCGCTTGAATTTCCGCAAAAGC